CACCCTTTGCAGGGTGGAGAGCAGGTACAGGGCCCAGGGGCCAACACGGTAGCCTCTTGCCTTGGGTGCATTCAGTTTACAGAAGGGGAGACAGGCCAGGCGGTTCTGGGTCCATTGGCCCTGGGGGCAGGCAGGAGTCTGTTCTTACAGGGCTGGCACCTCCCCCTGTGCCTGCCCAGCCCCAGCTCCTGAAGGCCTCTCACCCTGTGGGGCCAGTGGAAGCTTCTTGTCTCCCCCTCCTTCTGTTCCAGCCACCCTCAGCTTCCCCCAAACCCAGGCGCGCCGTGGTCCCCACCACAGTCCCTGCCAGGCGGCCACTTCTCCCTCCCCCAGCGGCGGCGACAGGGGAAGCAGTCCTTCCGGAAGGTGGGGGCTGAAGGTGGGTGTCCCAGGAAGCTCCTGAGGCCTGCCAGCTCCTTGACATGGGGTTTCAGTTCCGGGGGGGGGTCCCAGGCAGGGGCACAGAATTGCAGGGGTGGGGGGAGCTTGTGCTCAGAACTTAGTTTTGTTCTTATGGGGTTCTTCCTTACCCTTCATGCCCCTCTTCCTCCTGGACACCTCCTCTCCTACCCCCATGCAGTCCTTCCTGCCCCCCCTTGAAGCTTTTAGCCTACGCCAGCCCATGGGACCCCTCCCCACGCTCCTTCAGTTGGACCTCCCTTCCCTCCCCACCTCTGAGCTTCCTGCTTGGCTGGCCCAGTGTCCTCGTCTTTCCCACTGGATGTGTGACCCCAGCCTGTGGCCTGCTTGGACCCTGCCCCAGTTGGTCCTGCAAAGTAGGGCCTTGGAGGAGCCCTGAGCTGCCCAGGAGGGGGCGGAGCCTGGGGGTGCACCCCCACCCCACCGCAGTTGGGCTGGCATTTCCTGCCACCTGCCCCTGTCTGCCATGTGAGGACCGGAAAGGAGTTGGTGGGGGTTTCCCAGCTTCCTGCTGTGGGGTCCCTCCAAAACCCCATTCCAGAGGGAGCCCATGTAGCTCAGGAATTTTGGAGAGCGGTGGAGAGAGTCCTTCTCTCAAAGGGACCTCAGGGGCCACCTGCTCAGCCATTCCTGAGTGGTGGATGTAGTTTCTGCTTGTATGCAGTGGCGACAGGGAGCTCACCACCCCAAGCAGCAGCCCCTGCATTAGGAGTGCGTTCTTTACTTTAAACTTCACCAAATGTAGCTCTTCACCCTCAGGCTCTGGGGCTCAGGGAGGTACTGGGGCTGAGATCCCAGGGCATCCCATCTCTGCTCCGTGGCTGATGCTGGCCTCCAGGTATTGGCATTTTAGAGGCAGTTTTGTGGCCTGAAGTGCTTTTTGTGCCAAAAGAGAGATCTGTCCACCACTTCTTCCATGTAGCCTTCCTGGACTGAATCTGGCAGTTCTTCTAGGTCTCTTTGCCTGTGCTGGAGCTGCTGGGCCTCCCCTCTGGACAGGGGCCTGTCTCTTCTTGGAGGTCCCTGTGAGCTCCCGGGCCACGGCCTCCTTCCCAGGTCTCACTGATGGCTCGTAGTCCCAAAGGGGTGTGTGCGTGTGCGTGCATGCACGTGTTCATGCATGTGTGTGTGCGTTCATGTGTGCATGCGCTGCGTAAGGGACGTGGGGTGCTGGAGTGCTGAGGGTGTGAGGTTCCCCGTTCGGGCTTTGCCCCCTCCCTCGCAAGCCCCTCTGCACCCCTTGGGCAGGGAGCCTGCCATCCTGCTGTCCTGCAGCCCTGCCCCGCCAGCCCCACCGAGCAAGGATCAGATAAGTGTGTGGTGACCAGCCCGTGACAAGGCCCCAGCAGGTCCAAAGTATGACTTTTAAAAGAATAAGGCCTGATCACTGCCTCTGCTTATCAGTGGGTGGGGCAGATAAATGGCTTGGCAAGAGCAAGCCTGCATGCACGTGGAGCGGGGGCGGGCAGGGCCTCCGCAGGCGGAGGATGTTTGGGCATTTTTTTTGCCTTTTCTTTCTAATGTTCCCTTCCTGGCCAGAGTGTCTCTCTCCATAAGACTCCAGAAAACACACCCAGCCCATTGTCACCCAGGCTCCGGGAAAGTGTCTGCTGTAGATGTTCTCTGTAAACAGGAAGCACCCAGAGTGGGGGCCTGGGGACAGCAGGGGTCCCAAGGAGGCACGCACTGTGGGGGGGGTGTGTGGCCACCCCCTCTGGACTCAGCAGCCCCAGGGGCCTCACACCAGTTTGGAGCAGTCGCTGGACACTTGAGCGTGCGCCCCTCAGCCGGGTGGGGGTGGGGCTGCTGCAGAGGCTGGGGGTGGGTGCTCCTTCCCCGTTGTCGCCCCCTCCTCCTGGTTCTCACACTTGGGCTGGGTGCAGGCAGTGCCTTGGGGGGCTGGGAGCTTTGGGGTGCAGCCTGGCAGCTGGCAGTCAAACAGGCCTCCTCCCTCCCTCCTTCCTTCCTTCCGGCCAAGCTTTCTCCTGCCTCTCCCTCCCCTTCCTGGGGGGAGCAGCAAACACACAAACAAGGGGAGGCTCAGGGCCCCCGTGGAGCGGAGTGGAGCGGAGTGGGCACCGGCCCCTGCAGCTGTGAGCTGTGGCGGCAGCCGGGGCCCCTCCCAGCAGCTGTGGCTGCCAACTGCACCTTCCCCTTGAGGCGAGCAGCCCCTGAGAAGCCTGCAGTGCCCTGCTCTGATTCAGGGTCCCCTGCACCCCCAGGACTACCTGGGCGGGGCTGGAGTCTAGGAGCGCCTTCTTGGCTCGGCCTTGGCTTTCTGGTCTCCTTCCCATTTCTGGGAAGAAAGGTGTGTGGGGGTGCGGAGACACCCTCCCGGGCCTGGGAGCCCCGGATGCCCCTGACTGTCGCCACCCCCCACCCCATCTCTGCGTCTCTTGCAGACGTGTCCGCCGAAGCTTTCTCGCACAGTCCATCTCGCTGCCCGTTTGCTTCCACCCCAAAGTCGGAGAGGCGCTTCTCCGACCATGTGGAGGGGGCAGCCCTGGTCCAGGCTGTGGCTGGCTCCTGCAGATCAGAAAGCCCAGGCTTGGGTAGGGGTGAAACCGGTGCCAGGCCCTCGCGCAGGGCTGGCTGCGGGCCGGAGAGGCAGGCCACGATGGGTCCCTGCTTGCCTGGTGCAGGGCAGCTGCAGATTTGTGCGCTCATGCCTTTGGGCGAGTCTCACACCGGCGCTCTATGCCTCAGTCTCCCTGTCTGTCTCCGATGAGTGGACAGGTCCATAGGAACTCCATGGACCAAGGACCTGCAGCCGGGCCTGGGTCTGCTGTGCTTGGACACCTCTCCCTGCCTGTCCTCTCTTGTCAGCCCCGCTGCTCCCCCCAGGCTTCCTGGGGAAGTTAAGGGGCTACGGACCTCTGGGCACACGGTGTTCAGGGCACTTCATGACTAACAGGGCGGATCTGCAGTACCTACCCTTGCCAACAGGCGCTGCTACCCTCCGGTGTTGCTGGAATTCCTCTAGGGTTCATTTCCAAGTTCAGTGAAGTGGTTGATCCCCAGTTTTGTGAATGGCTAGAGTTTCAGATGAGTCGGATGAGGCTGCTTGCCAGTGGAGTTAGGGTGCAGGCAGGCTCAGCCACCCCTGGCTGGACTGTGGGCTTCCAGGCCGGCTTCCTGTGCCCCTGGTCCCGTGGAATGGGGAGAAGGAGGAAGTGCCCAGTGGGCCGGGGGCTGCAAGAGCAAAGCGGGTAAAAACTCCCGGGGGAGGGCATCTGGCAGGGTGGCAGAGCCTCCTGTATTCCCGCCAGGACCACCCCACCCTCCGGGCTGGCCACCCCCAGCATCTCCAGGGACATGTTCCTAAATCCTTGGGACAGGGTTTTGGCCAGAGTCACATGTGCTGAGTCCTGACCGGGCCGCTTGGTAGTGGTGTCCTCTGCGTGATGGTGTCTGTCCCCCGAGGCTCGGGGGCCTTCTGAACACAGCCGCTCCAAGGTTCAGGGAGGCAAGTGGTCCTTGGGGCCTCGAAGGGTGCAGCCCGGGTGGGCCCCCTGATCTGGGGTGTCTGCGGTCAGAGGCCAGTCCCCTGTGGGAGAGAACAGTTTGCAGATGGGAAGGCTGAGGCCCAAGGAGGGGCCCGGGCTTGCCCAGGGCATTCTGCCTGGTGGGGGTGGCGCTCGGCGGCCTCTGGGCTCCTCTGGTTCCTGCTGGTGTGTTCCACCCGCCCGTGGGCAGCGGATTCACCACCTGAGAGCCTTCCTCCTGGGGAGGCTTCTTCCTGCTGAGCCCTCAGGGTGGGGTGGGGAGGCCTCATTAGCTCTCATTGGGGCTTTGAAATCGCTGAGATGAAAGCTTGTGTGTGGGAGGTCCCGGCCTCTCCCCACAGCCTCTATGGGCTAGCATGCACCCCGGCCCTGTCCACGAGGCCCACTCGGAAGCGGTCATCTCTCTGGGGCCTCACAGGTTGGAGGGCTGTGGCCGCTGGGGCGCCTGAGCAGGCTTGGGCAGGGTGGTCTGTTGGGTTGAGGCCACAGAACTCAGAGAGAGGGTCAGCCTCCTGGTGGCAGATGTGCTGTGCCCCGGGCAGCTGTAGGAACACAGGGCCTCGGTTCCCTGTCTGTACAACGGGGCAGTAAGAGTACTGGCTACGTAGCTCTCAGCTCCGTGCCCGAGTCTACCCCGAGGACATGGTGGGCACTCGGAAAACATCGGCCGCGTGGTTTTTACTGTAACTCCCACACCTTTACCCCTGCCCCTTGAGCACACAGGCAGAGGGACTGGCAGCTCGTGCTGAGCAGGCATTCCAGGTGGACAGGCGGCTGTCTGGCCTCCCTGCCTGGATGGGCATTGGTGAGCCTGCTGTCGGCCTGCTGGTCCTGCATCTTCCTCCTCCGGCCCAGCCTGAGCCCCACTGCTGGGCCGGTGGGTGTCGGGGGTGCTGTCTTGGAGGGGGGCGCTCCCTGCGCTCTGGCCTCATGTTGGTGGGACTTTGTGGCATGAGCCGTTAGGGTCACCGTGGGGGCGCCGGGGCCTGGCCTCGCTGTGGTCTCTGTGCCCTGGGGGAGCAGGCCAGGCAGTGTGGGTTCCTGACTGCCCTCCTCTGGGTTCTTGTCTTGCAGACTTCTCCACCCAGGTGAACTCCTCGTCCCTCAACTCCCCCACGGGGCGTGGCTCCATGGCCGCCCCCTCACTGCACCCCTCTCTGGGGCCTGGCATCGGCTCCTCGCTCGGCTCCCCTGGACAGCTGCACTCGCCCATCAGCACCCTGAGCTCCCCCATCAATGGCATGGGCCCACCCTTCTCGGTCATCAGCTCCCCCATGGGCCCCCACTCCATGTCAGTGCCCACCACGCCGACCCTGGGCTTTGGCACCAGCAGCCCCCAGGTAAGTGCAGAGGCGGGGCCCCTCCTGTGGACCCTGGGGGGCAGGTGCCGTCATTTCCAACCTTTATCTCTGGGAACCAGAGCCTCAGAGAGGCGGCTTAAGCCTGAGTTTGAGCCCAACTCCGGTTGACTCCCCAGCCCTTGACTCTCAGAGGTTGTCAGCCAAGTTCCCTGCAGCTGGTCATCTACCCCATTGGGGCCCCTCCTATCTGGTGGCTCTCTGCTCCTGTGGCCTGGCTGTGTAAGGCGGGGGGGTGCTCTGTGTTTCTCAGGTTTAAACCCACCTCCCTGGAGCCCCTGCCCCTTCTCGGCCCTTCCCTCCTGGCCTCTGCTCAGCCCATGCCAGGTGATTTCAGATCCCAGGGGGAATGTGTCCAGACTCTGTGCAGATGCACCCTCCTCAGGCTGGGTGGTCTTTTCCACAGTCCTGTGTTTGGAAGAGTCTGCCTTTCGGGGTTGTCTCTGAATCGGGAAGCAACTGGTGCCTGGCAGGGCCTGGCTTGGTCCAGTTCTTGCGGTGGGGATCCTGGAGGCCCAGTCCACCTTCTCCTGGGCGCCTCTTGTCCACACCCCTGCAGAGTTGTCCTGAGCTCTTCCAGAGATTCCTACGTTGTGAAGGGGCCCCAGGGCCCAGCTGGGCCTCCCCTCTCCCAGCTCCGTGCGGTTCCCAGTGGATTTCTTGCTGGGTGGCCAGGAGACCTGGCTGAATCCCAGCAGGCCCTTCCTCTCTCTGGGGTTGTCCTTCCTGAAATTAGCAGAGGTCCGTTACTGGTCCGAGTCCAAGTCTGGGTTCAGCCATTCTTCCCCTGGTGGATGAGGCCCCCCGGATGGAGAGCTTTGGGGCACCATCTCCGCGGAGCCTCAGGATAGCCTGCTGGGGAGAGACTTGAAGTGCAGGCGTCCCTGCCCAGAGCCACACATCTAATTGTGTCAGCCACATCCCACGGGCTCCCAAGCCCCCTGCTGCCACGCCACCTGTGGGGCAGCCCACCTTGCTCCTGGCGCAGGAGGACTGGGATACCACTGAGCTGGAGCCAGCCCCCTGCCCGTCTGGCTGGGCCTCTGGAGCTGGCCTTGGTGGAGGATCTTGCTGGCTTTTCCAGAGTGAGCTTGTCAGCCCTTGGTGGCTGGGGCCTCGGGCATCAGTGCAGAGCTCCCGTGCCCCTGTCATGTCATCTGGGCCCCAGAGCAGGCAGGGGGCCTGAGGTGCTGGCATGGGGGAGGCTCGGCTGCCTTCCTGGGCCTGGCCGGGTTATTTTTAGCGTAGCCACCCCACCCCCGTTCTTGCCGGCAGCACAGTGCCATGCAGGGAGCGAGAGGGCACATGAAGGCTGAGCCTGCACCTGCCCCCTGGGGACCGTGACAGAGGCAGGCACCTGCTGACCCTCAGGCCCACGAGGCTCCCTGCTGGTCTTGGGCCTGCCACCTGTGTCCCAGACACCCTGAGGGCTCGTGCACAGCAGGAGCCTGGGCGTGGCAGTGACACTCTTTAAACCTCTGGGGCGCCGGCCCCTTGGTACCGTTTACCTGTCTGGGGGCAGGGGTGGGGCGGTCCTGGGGAGTGAGGGGTTTTCGGGACGTCTGTCCTGTTTTCTGTCATTCTCTGCACACAACCTGGTCCCTGGCACTTAGTGGGTGCTGGTTGAACCCAGGTTGTGTGTGAAAAGGGGTTCTAGGCCCCTTGAAGCTGATGAGGAGGTCAGGGCAAAAGTTGGGCCTGGGCGGGGAGCAAACCCGGTGTGTCACAGATGGTCATTACTGTCCTGTGGTCGGCCGCCCGTCTGTCCATGTGTCCATCAGTCACTTGGGCCACAGTGAGTTTTGCCACAGTTTGAGCCCCCCGCTTCCGTCCCCCTGCCCCATGCTCGGCCTCTCCTCTGGCTGCCCGTCCCGGGTGGGCCTCAGTCTCCCCTGAACGCTGCCACCTCCCCCGCACCCCCATAGCTCCTTCCTGGAGTGAGTGCAGCTTCTGGGCTTCAGCAGCTTGTCTTGGAAACCTGGGGTTCCCCATATTCACGGGAGTGTGGGTGGAGTTCAAAGGGGGGCATGCCCCACCCCCTGCCCCAAAACCACAACCGCGAAGTCATGGTTGCCGGAACAAGCGAGGTTCTCCGACTTCTGCTGTTGTTGGGGAAGGCCTGCCGCTCTGCCGAGCGCTGCCTGCTCGAACCCCCCACACAGCCAGGGAGCGCCGTCAACACCCAAATCCACCCCAATTGACCTTGCCCAGAAGTGGTTGCCTTGGGGGTCTGGGCTGGGCCAAGTACGCAAACGGCCCCATGTCTTTTCCTGGTCTGGGGGCTCCGTCTGCACTGGGCCCAGGGGCGTCCCCAGCTCGTCCCAGAGCCTGCTCGCCACACCTGGCCTGCCGTGGACAGCACAGCATCCAGGCCAGCAGAGCTTCCCTGGTGCGGGATGCGCTCAGGCCAGCGGGGTGGCTGGCACTGCCTACTCTTTGTTGGGGGTCCTGCGGCCGTGAGGCCTCGGGGACAGGGCATCCAGGTGAAGCTAGTGCGCGTCACAGGGTTTGCCCCTGCCTTGATGGCAGTGTGAGGCTGGCGAGGCCGAGGACCTGCTCTTGTGCGTGGCCAGCCTGAGTCTTCAACCCCAGTTCTGGCCGTGGGTGATGGAGGGGGCCTGCCGTGGGCTCAGGAGGAAGGGCGTGGTGGGTGCGGAAGAGAGGAGCCTCGTGAGGCGGCAGGAGGCCCTGGCGGGGCATCGATGAGGCAGGTGGCTATTTTAGTAAGCGCTGTAGGCTCCAGCGGGAACTGAGATGAATGCCAAGGATATGAAAGGGGAAACGGGACCAGGCCCCCACCCTGTGCCCCATCGCGTGGCTGTCAGGTTCCAGCGAGGGGCTGCTGGTGCTGGGGGTCTCCCCAGAGTGGAATGGGGTGGGGGGCAGGAGGAGAGCAGTCCCCCATAGGTGGGGGGCTGCAGAGCCCGCTGGGGAGGGGTGTGTGCAAGCCAGAACAAGGCCCCAGGAGTCGCTCCATGCTCTGTTCTGGGAGCTGTGGACCCAGCCCAAGGCCTATCAGCTCAGAGCTGGGGAGGGGGAAGAGCAACCCCTGACCCCAGCAGCCTTGCCCTGGTGGGTGGCCCCAGGCCTGCAGTGAGCGGGGTCGCCAGCCCAGCTTTCGTCTCCCCACACGTGCAGGGTGTCCTAGGGCTCCCCAGCGTGACTACTCTGCTCATGGGAAGCCTGGGCCCGGGAGGGCAGCACTGACCGTCCATCCTGCCTGTGCCTCCTTCCCCTGTGGGGCCCTGGCCAGCCCTCCTCACTGCTGTGGCCCTGCCTCAGTTTACCTAGAGCAGGCAGCAGTCCCAAGGGCCTGCACACATAGAGGAGGCGGGAGGGCAGGTGGCCCGCTAGCCACCCAGCATGATGTGGGCAAGCACGAAAGAGGAAATACCCAGGTTCCTCTCCCTGGTGCTTCCAAGTGGATCCAGCCACGTGGAGTCGTGGCCAGACTCCCACAGTATGGGGACACAGGCTTCCTGCTCCCGTGTCTTGGGTGGCTCCCTGCAGTTGGGCCTGTGGGGACCTGCCTCCGCCCCCAGCTGCACCCCTCTGGTGCCGTTTTCCAATAGTCCTTCGGCTTCCCCATCTGCACAGGGCGGCTCCGTGGCCCCTCTGCCTGGGACCAGCTGGAGGCCGAGCCCTGGGGCAGCGCGTCCTTCCCATTGTCCTGACAGCAGCCCTCAGTCCTGCACACGGCCCTGGGGACCTCTGGCGCAGAGTGGCTGAGTAATTACTCTGTTACACAGTGAATGGACGAGGTGTGATCCTGAGGCCCTGCCACTGCCCTGCTGTCCCCCCCCCCCTCGCCCGTCCCCACCTGGCCCACAAGCTCTGCAGCGCTGTGTCTCTGAGCACCTGGCTGGGCACCCAGTGAACCGTGTCTGATGGATGGGGTCACCGAGTGGCTCTGGGCAAGCCGGCCTCTTGGGGCCTCAGTTTCCCCTTCTGCAGCATACGTGGAGCCCTTCGGGGCTCACCACGTGCTACTCAGAGACCTGAGCTTAACATGCTGCTCTGCCAGTCCCCTGACCTCCTGAGCCTCCACGTCTGTACCTGGGAAACGGAGGGGCTTTCCTGCGCGCTCGGAGGGGCGCGCACACGGAGCCAAGCGCCGGCGCTGGAGCACTTAGCCGACCGTGCCCCTTCTCCGTTCCCTGTGTTCCCCAGGGGGTGCTCCTGGTGCCTTGGGACGGAGTGCAGCAGGCGCACCCCACCCGAGTCTCACGGGGGTTAAGTGTCCTCACAGCCACACGGCCCACCTGGGTGGAGGAGGGACTGAGAACGGGCCGCAGCCGCACAGAGGCCAGCGTGGAAGAAGGCTTTGGGTGGTTTCTGCTTCGTGTGCTTTGAGCACCAAGTTCTTCCTGCCCCGTGAGAAAACGGGCGGGGTGGGGGGGGGCTTGGGGAAGGAAGGAGGCGAGGTTCCTGCTGGCAGGAGGGGCCCGGGGCTACCAGGGGGCAGCGTGGCGCCTGCCGGCCTTCCCCAGGGCGTCCGCACCACCCGGTTTCCGCCTCTCTCAGGGGTTTGCAGAAGTGGGGGTGCGGGGGGCCGTGCAGCCGGGGTCTCGGCGCCCGTGCAGACAGGCCAGCCTGCGGGTTGCCGCGGGAAGCACCTCTGGGCCCTGGCGCTGACAGGAGGGCCGGGCTGGACGCAGCAGAACCAAAACTGCTGTGTCACCGCGGCGCGCAGCTGTTGCCAGGGTGACTGGTGAGTTTCCCACGCTTCCTCCCGGGCAGCGGCCGGCGGCTGCGGGCGGGGCGGGGCGGGGCGGGGCGGGGCGGCGTGCGGAGGGGGTGCTGGCTCTGCCCTGCGCGCCCGGGGCCACGTGACCGGAGAACCCCGCCCCTCCCCCTGGGGTGCCGGCGGGGGCGGGGGGGGGGGCGCTGCGGATGTGGACTCCGGCTCTCCCTCGCTGTGACCAGGCCTCAGTGTCCGTCTGTGGGTTGGGGATCCCCAAAGTGCCTGCCTCACGGAGAGGGTCGCGGGTTCACGCGGTCCTGTCTGGGGCATGCTCAGTAATTGAAAGCGGTTCTTACTTAGCCCAGCGAGGGGCAGGGGGTGTGAGCAGGGCCACGGGGGTTCTCCCCTGACTCCCCTGAGGCCTGCTGTCGGCCATGGGAGGCAGAGCAGCCTCCAGCAGCTGGGTCCTGCCTCTCCTGAGCTGTGTGGCCTGTGGCGGGCAGGGTCCCTCCCTGGGCCTCGGTTTCCCGCTCTGTACAGTGGGGGTACGTCGGCGCCTTCCTTACCATGGGGCCGGTGTGGGGGGGGACACTGGCACGTGCCCCCTGGACACTCCCGGTGTTCCCTCCTCAGCTCAGCTCACCCATGAACCCCGTCAGCAGCAGCGAGGACATCAAGCCCCCACTGGGCCTCAATGGTGTCCTCAAAGTCCCGGCCCACCCGTCAGGGAACATGGCGTCCTTCACCAAGCACATCTGTGCCATCTGCGGGGACCGCTCCTCAGGTAGGCCACCGGCGGGCCGCGGGACCCCCGCAGGCAGGGAGCAGGGGTGCGGGGAGGCAGAGGCTGGCCGGGCGGACCTCCTGGAGGGGCGGGGTGGCGCGCTTACGGGGCCCCCTCCCCGCAGGCAAGCACTACGGGGTGTACAGCTGCGAGGGCTGCAAGGGCTTCTTCAAGCGCACGGTGCGCAAGGACCTGACCTACACCTGCCGAGACAACAAGGACTGTCTGATCGACAAGCGCCAGCGCAACCGCTGCCAGTACTGCCGCTATCAGAAGTGCCTGGCCATGGGCATGAAGCGGGAAGGTGGGTGCCCGCAGGGGGTGGGGGGGCGGGGGGGCCGCTGCCAGTACTGCCACTACCAGAAGTGCCTGGCCACGGGCATGAAGTGGGAAGGTGGGTGCCCGCGGGGGACGGGGGGGCGGGGGGGCCGCTGCCAGTACTGCTGCTACCAGAAGTGCCTGGCCGTGGGCATGAAGCGGGAGGGTGGGTGCCCGCAGGGGGGGGCGCCAGCCCCCCGTGTCCCGCCTGCCCCAGTGCCCGCTCCCTGCAGAGCCCGCTGCTGCCGGGCCTCGGGATCACAGAGGGGCCTGCATCCGTCCTCCCAGCCCTGTGGCGGACACGCGTTGCTCACAGTCCCCTCTTCAAGGTCGAGGCTGTGCAGAGCATGGCCCCCGGGTGAGGGCGGAAGCACAGTGAGGGCCGAGGCTGGAGGTGGGGGACGGGGCAGGAGGCGCCCAGGGGCGCGGGTGCCTGTGCCACCCGAGCTGTGTTTTGGCTGTCTGGAGAGGGGCCGGTCGAGGAGGCCAGGGCAGGACAGCGCTGGAGAGGGCGTGCAGTGGAGCAGGGAGCTCCCAAGGCCATGTGGGTGCCCCCAGGGTCGCCCTGGGCCTTGCCTCCTCCCGCCCACCTGGCGGAGGTGCCTAGCAGCACCCAGGTCCTCAGGGCAACCGGACTCTTGGGCTTGGATTTGGGTGCCTGTTTTATCGACAATGTTTGTTCGGGGCACCGTGGAGGGACACTCCCCGGAGGTGGTTGAACTTGTCAAGTGATTCAGCCAGACCTGGGTCTGAGCCCTTGGCCCCAACTTTGCAGTGTGATCTCTGCCCAGCCCCTCACTGTCTGTGGGCCTCAGTTTCCCCATCTGTAGGCTTGGTGACTCCTGCATCCCGGGTGGATTCGCTGGGTTACAATCTGCCCCTTTGCTTGAATGCAGTAGGGCGGTGGGGGGTTCATCTCACTGGGTTTCGTGCCTGGGCCCCATGGGGCTGGGGAGGTGCTGTCTGGGATCAGGGGCTGTGTGTCTGTCCCCATCTGTCCACCGCTGCTCCTGACGGGGTCCCCGGGCTGGTGCCTCACCACCGAGGACTGTCACCTGCGGTCCTTGCGGTTCTCATCTCATTTCCTGTTTTAGCCGTGGTTATTCTTGTGGAGAAACTGAGACTTCAGTTGGGCCACACGGTCCTGCAGGATTTCTTGCTTGAGGCTACAAGGGCAAGCAGGACATGGGACGTTCTGCAGTTGGCACCACTCCTGGCAAGGGGAGCCTCAGGGGCTCTGGCGCTGAGCTGCAGGGGCTGGCCCGGGCCATGCGGAGTGTGTGCCCCCAGGCCTTCCTGGTCAGGGGGCCTGTTTCCTGTAGTGCTTGGTCTACCTACTCGCCCTTGTACAGGCGGAGAAACTGAAGCCTAGAGCGTCCAGGGCTTGACTGAGATCACATGCCACGTGGGACTCAGGCCTCTGGCTCCCGGAGTCTGTCCTCATTCCTTTAGGCCATCACGGGGCAGAGTGAGCACGTGCCCAGCCGGAGGAGGTGTGCACCTGGCCCTGGTTCCTCCGGATGTCTCTGTAATCAGGGAGGGCTTGCTGGGGGTGGTCTGTGCAGTGTTGTTGCTGGGATGGGAGCTCAGGCAGGCGAGTGTGTGGTGGGCAGCGGACTGGTGTGTGCCCAGGCGTGGGGCCTGGGCAGAAGGCCGGGTGCCAGCGTGCTGGGGCAGGCTCAGGCTCCCTTGAGGACACCCTAGCACAGAGCGAGCTTGGGTTAGTGCCTGAGACCACTCGCTTGCCAAGCTCAGCGCTCCTGGTGCCAGGCGCCATGCTGGGTGTTGGGCATGCCGCAGTGAGCTGTGGGCATGCGTCCACTGAAAGTGATTGTCACATTACCAGGCAGGGCCCCCAGGTGCAGTCAGTGTTGATTGGGGAACCCAGCTGCGGGCAGATGTCCAGCCTGATGCCTTAAGAATGGAAGGGTGTCAGGGAGACTACGAGCCCAGGCGGAAGGCATGGTGTGCGCAAAGCCCGAGAACATCAGCAGATAGAGCACACTGCGAGGCCGGATGCTGTTCCCAGCCTCAGAGAGTGACCCTCCCCATGGGTCCCTGGACGGTCCAGTAGATGCTGATCTCTTCCTCAGGCCCCCTCGGCCTGGCCACTTGGAGCCTGGGCGTCATCAGACTCTAGCTGCCTGACCCCCTCCCCTGCCAGGCCTGGGGGAGAGCGGGTGATTGTCTTGTCCTGCCCCAGTGGAGCTGCAGAGGCCCAGGGCTGGGAGGCCTGGTCCGGCCCCTGCCCCTGTGCCCACAGTGACAGGGTCTTGTCGGGAGTGGCTGTTAGAAGCACCTGCTGTGTGTGGGGCCTCACTGGGCACCCCGCCCCATCGCCACACTCCCTCTGGCTCCCTCGCCCGTGCTGTGGGATTGCTGCCCTACATTCCCAGACAGATGGACTGCAGAGGTGGGCACTTGGGGGCCGGAGGCCTGGGCTGCCCTCGTCAGCTTGGTCCAGAGTCACGCCAGCCCGAGTGTTTCTCTCGCCTCGCTCTCTTGTCAGATGTATAACTCTGGTGCTTTGGGCGCATTCCCGAGGCAGCACACAGCCCTCGAGACCTGATTTATGGGCTGTTAGATAAATACCTGATCCCGTCAGGACCCACCCCCACCCCCACCCTTGCCTCGTCCGGGATTTATAGGTCACGAACGTGCAGGTCTCTCGGGCCTCAAGCACAACAGCATACAGACAGGCCTCTCAGCCCGGCTTGCCGGCGTGCGGCTCTGCGGCGCGTTTCCCGATGCGCGGGGCCCAGTGCACAGCCTCAGTCTTGGCCGGAGCGACCAGTAGCCCCGGTGGGACTCTGGTGCCGGCCCCGCAGGGAGCTCCACGGTCTTCCAGGCCTGGAGGCCTGTGGCAGGGTGCTGGGAACTGGCCTCCGTGGGCCCCGGAACTGGTCCTGAAATCGCTCCTTTCCTGTCTGTTGTCTTGGAGCCGAGGCGGGGCCCCTGGCAGCAACAGGACAGCGTGGCAGCCCGGGGGCTGGGGGCTGGGGGCTGGGCGTGCCAAGCCGGTCTTGGCCTGGAGCACGTAGGATGTGAGGTGTTGGCTTCCGCAGGCTGGCCTAGGCTGCGTGGCCCCTCAGGGAGGCTTGTGGTCACACCCCTGGTACAGGCAGGGAAGCAGGCTCGCACCCAGATGGCGTCACCTGGTGCAGCGCAGGAGGGAGTGGTTCGGGGTTGGCACCTGGACCGGCTGACCGCAGGGAGAGCTTGGTGGGGGGGGGGCTCGCTCTGGCTCAGAGCTGATGGGGACCCCTCCTCGGTGCCGGCTAATGAGGGATGCTGTGGGCAGATAGCATCTCTGTTGGGCAATGCAGGGGCCTGCGCACACAAACACCACCTGGGACTCGCTCCGCAGCATTCCCCAGGGAGGTGGGGGCCAAGGCCCAGGTGGGACATGCCAGCCGTCTACCAGGCTGAGCCCGGGCCTGTCTGCTGGAGCACAGGGTGGCAGGGCTTGGGGGGAGGCTGCTGGTGCTCCTGTCTGATGGCGGGACCTGACCCTCACCTGGGGTGATGCTGACCCAGCCTGAGGGTCACCTGGCTGCCCGCCTCTCTGCTTCCTTCTTTCTCCTCCAGGAAAGCCTCTTCCCGCTTCCTTCCTGCCTCGCTTTGCTTTCTGAGCCTCGTCGCCTGACCGCGTGTGTGCGTGAGTGTGCGTGCACGATCGCCCCACACATTCCTACTGTGGAGAAAGAGCCTAGCTGGGTTCCGGCGCTGCCCTGTCAACACCGAGCAAGTGACTGCCTCTCCGAGCCTCTGCTTCCACATGTGACAGTGGGGGCGGCAGCCGGCTCCCTGCGGGGCTCGTTGGGACAAACAGGGCAGTGGCCACCCTGTGCCTGGTGGTGTGGGGTTGGAGAGTAGAGAGCATGTGTGTGTGAGCGGGTGTGTGGTCACTCTTGCGTACCGACTCCTTGTCCTGGATTGAGTGCCCTGAGGGCAGGAGGGATCTGTCCTCTGAGCTAGAGAGCCTGGTCAGCAGGGCATTCCTTCTCTGGGTCTGAAGAAGGGGAGCTGAGCCAGGGCCTTTTGGTGACCGTCAGCCCTGCCTTCCCCGGGGGCTGCACGAGGCACAGAGGAAGGCCCCAGCTGGCTGGCAGTGCCCAAAGCAGAGGAGGCAGCAGGCTGGGGTGCTGCCTCCCAGAGACGCCCCCTTCCCACCTCCTGGCTTCCTGCCCAGCCCAGCAGCCTGGAGGGGTGGCCGTGGGGCACGGCAGCAGGTTGGGGGTGGCCCGCTCTGGCCGAGGGGCTGCTGCTCCCCAGCCCCCACGTCAGCATCTCCCCTGATGCCGGGGACCCCGGTCTCGTTGGGTGTAGAACCCCCCTCCCAGCCTGTGCCTCTCCGGTCTTCCCGGGGTCCCACAGCGCTCAGGCCTGGGGGGGTAATGAGGCCCTGTGCCTGAGGCTTCCCGGCGCCAGCAGGACGTAAGGCAAACATGACTACATCTGAAAGGTGATTGAGCTGGCAAAACATAAATCCCCGGCCTCCCTCCTGCTTCCTCCGCCGGCTATAAATAAAACCATAATATTTATAATGATGCCGCTCAGAGCTGCCGGCCCTCCATGGCTTCAAAGTGCTTCACGAAGCGTTGGCTAATTAATTCGTGCCGCCCCAGTGGAGGAGGCAGGTGCTGGGGACCCCCACCCGCTGCTGCTCTGGGGGCTGCCCCCAGGCTCAGGGCCACCCCGCGCCCGTCCCGTCTGTGCCGTGGGAGGAGATCTCCCTGGCTGCGCGTGAGGAGCGTGGGGGTGGGAGGCACAGAGGCGTGAGTGCCTTGCGGGTCCGGCCCGGGGCCCGCGCTGTGGTCCCTCCCTCCAGGCCCGAGGAAGCAGGGCCACACGGCTGTCTGAGCCGCCCACCGTCCTGGGAGCTCAGCTGTGCCCGCTGCTGCTCTGGGCCTGTTTCCCCAGCTGGTGAGGCAAGGCGCCTGTCAGCCATGTCCTGGCTCTGACAGCTTAGGATGCTGCCCAGAGCACAGACCCTGGGGATCGCCCCATCCTCCGGGTCTCAGGGACATGGGCCCGCCGGGATGCGGGGTCCGTCACCCTGGCTGCTGGCCACATTGCTGGGGTGGCTCTCCTGGCCTGTCATCCCGTGCACTGTGGCCTTGGGGGTGACAGAAGCGGGGCCCCGCCCGTGCCTGGGCCCCGCCCATGTTGGGGTCTGGAAGCCTGGCTGGAGGGGGGCCAGAGATTGGCGGGTCAGCCACAGCCCTGCCACCTACCCACCAGGTCGAGTGTCCTCTGAAGAACCCCCCTGCTGTCAGAGTTTCTGGAAGAACTAGGCTTGCAAGAACTCTGAAGGCCGCCTGCCGGGCTCCTTGGCCCAGCCGGTGTGGTGTGAAGTGTTGGCTGGCCCGTCCTTGAGACCTGCTACGTGGACGGCAGGTCCCCCGCTTGAGTCAGTGCTTTGGGTCTCGGAGAGTGTAGCCTGTGGTACGGGGTTGGCTCTAAATGGCCACTCGTCAGTGCACGGGGGACTGGGGCCTGCGTCAGGGGGTCCCCCGGGTGGTCGAGAGGTGTTCCTGTGAACTGTGAGAGAGCTGTGGGCTGTGCTGTGGGAACCAGGCAGGCCTGGGGGACCCCTGGGGCCAGCACCATCGGAGAGCCCTCCCAGCCCCGGGCTGGAGGAGTGAGGGGAGTGAGGGCTTGCGGACCCCGGGAGAGGGCTGTTCCCCAGGAGCTGTGGGCTTAGGAGGAGGTGGCAGCTGAGATCCTCCCGCCCTCCTCCCTCCTGCCCGTCCCTCAGCATTTGCCAAACTCAGCAGGGAGCCACAAGGGAGAGGGACTGGTCAGGCAGCCTGAGTTCGGGCCCTCCAAGCCAGAGCAGGGGGGTGGGCCTGGGGGTTCAAGGCGGGGGTCCCCTGACAGTGGGCATCTGCGAGAACTGGGAACTGTGTGTCGCTCCCTAGAGAGGAGGCTGAGCCCCATCTGAGGCCCAGGGGCCACAGTGCTCAGGAAGCCCTGGGAGGGGTCACACCGTCCACACTCCAGAAGGCACTGCCCCAGGACATTGGACCAAGAAAGAGGGCGCTGAGCACAGAGTCCCAGGAGAGTGTGAGGGGGTGAGAGCAGGGTGCCAGGCTGAGGCTCTGGAGGGACTGGGGCTCTGATCTGGCTTTGGGGATGTCCGTCTGGGATAGGTCAAAAGCAGGGAGTGGGAGATGGCCTAAGGAAGGCCTGGTGGAGGGAGAGAGGTACCAGCATCTGGCCAGCAGCCTTGGGAGGACCTCCAGGCCCCTTGGCTGAGCCCGCACCTCCAGGCTGGCCAGAAGCTGGGCCGTGGGCCAGAGGCCCCGCAGCTGTTGGAGTCAGCTGACCTGAGCTGACTCCTGTGCGGGAGCGTGCCCTGGGCAGGTTCTGCTTCCCACAAACGTCAGTGTGTGTGATCTTCATGCTCTGCCTTCGGGTCCCCCAGCAGCGGGCTGTGTACCGGGCCCTCTCCAAGGCGCAGCTCGGGGTGCAACCAGGGAGTGGGGTGGTGAGTGTCCGGGTGGTCTGGGCGTCTGTCCAGCTGAAGGTTCTGCGGGGCCCATGAGGTCTGTGGGGTGCTTGGCTCAGCAAAATGGCCTGCTGGGTCTTTGGGGTAGGGGGCTGCCTGGGGCTGTCTCCTGAGGACCAGTTGCTGCCAGAACCGGCCCAGCTCTCAAAGCCCTGGGGTTTCTGGTAAGGGAGTGAGTGGCCTGTGCCACTCGGCATGTTATGAGGGACCCAGGCCTGCTGTGTGGATAATCTTCCACCTCTTATGAGGAGCCTTCTGGACCTGGTGTGGGCCCAGCCCTGTCAGTGCCTGGGTCCTGGGCTCTGCAGCGCAGGGCCATTTCCAGGCCCTTCCTCTCGGTTTGGTTGGCCGTGTGGACAGAGGTCTCAGGGCTACAGTCTGAAATCACCTCACCAAGCTCCCACTCCGTGGTCGGATCTCCAGGGTCCCCAAGAAGCCGAGGGCCTTGTCTGGGGTAGGGGCTGAGGAGCTGGCCCTGTGGAGGCCATGGCCACCCCAGGGCTCTGGTGGAGGGGGATGTCTGGCTCAGGAGGGCAGGACCATAGAGGGTGGGCTTGGGTGGGCTTGGCGGAGGCCCACCCTGGTGCCGCTGTGATGGCATCTGGGTGCCCCCGACATACCTAGCAGGCTCAGGCTGTACCAGTGCCGTGTAGACAGCCCTTCCTGGCCCCGCAGCATGCCGCAGGCTGTGACTTCTCCCCGCTGCTGACTCATTTTCCCCGGTCCAGGGCCCTTGGTGCTCCTAGCGGAGCAGAGGGAGTGGAGGTGGGGGTCAGCCCAGGAGGCTGCAGCAGGCTCAGGAGCCATGTCAGTGCTTGTGGGGCTCTGGGTGGGGTGCACAGCCTGGCCCCTCTTGGGAGAGGCAGCTTGAGCTGCATGGGCTCTGCAGTCTGAGCTCTGCAAACACGCAGCTGCAGGGGTACCCTGGCCTCCTCCCTTCTGTCCACATGGGTCTCCGTGCGGCAGTGAATGCCTCCTTCTCTGCCTCCTTCCATCGGCTTCTGACCAGCCCCGTGCTCAGCCCTCCAGCCCCAGTGCTGCCCCCACCCCCACCGGGCCAGCCCAGGCCACCCTGGCTCACACTCGGGATTGGCCTCCAGCTTCTGGTCTCCCCAGGTCCCCCTCGTCTTTCTACAGCGGGAGACGTGTGTGCCATCCTGTCTGTCTCCTGTGGCACGCCAGGCCCTGTCCAGGAACTCGGCCCTTGCCCCGACTTGCACCCCTTGCAGGGGCTCTCCAGCCGGGAGGAGCGGCTCTGCTCTGGCTCTTTGCGTATGCTGCCTTCTCTGCCTGAGCTCTCACCCTTGGCTTTTCTTGCCACTTCTGGGAAGGCTTCTTGGCTTTGTCTGACTCCATAGTCCATTGAAGCTCTTACTGCATATTGGGACCTCCGCTGAGCCGTCGGTCAGCTGCATGAGAGCTGGGCCTTGTGTGCTCCGGCCGATGTACACCTGGCCCCAGGCGGGTGCTGGTGTGGGCATTAGTTAGGTGTGAGTTAACGAGGGGCAGGTGTGCTCTGTGTTCTGGGCGTGCGTGGCTGCTGGAGGCCAGACCTGGGGCAGAGACGGGGCGGGGGTTCGGCCAGCTCTGAGCAGTGCCTCCCTCGGCGGCCCTGGCAGGCACACTGGCTCAGCGAGGGTGGCGCTGCTCAGCCCCTGATGGCGGGGGGGCTGCCGAGGGAGCTGCGGGCTGACCGCCCCCCTGCCCCCTGCAGCCGTACAGGAGGAACGGCAGCGGGGCAAGGACAGGAACGAGAACGAAGTGGAGTCCACGAGCAGTGCCAACGAGGACATGCCAGTGGAGAAGATTCTGGAGGCAGAGCTGGCTGTCGAGCCCAAGACCGAGACGTACGTGGACGCGAACATGGGGCTGAACCCCAACTCGGTGAGCGCCACCCCTGCCCACACGGCCTCCCCTGGGGCGGCAAGGGCCAGTATTGCTTGGGGCCTATTGGCCCCTGGTGGGTGTTGCTGGATGGGAGGCCCCAGCTGTCACGGGCCATGCTGAGAGCCAGCACCTGCTCTCCCGCTCTGTGTGGCCTGGGGCCATTGCTCAGCTGGGTTTCGGGCGTCCTGCACCTGCCCCAGGTGTGCCGGCCCTGGGGAGGTTTCGCCTGTGCCTTCCTGTGGGGTCAGGGTTGGGATCAGAGCCCTGTGGCCGGCCCTGAGGTCACTCCGGCCTCTCTCCCTCTGTCCTCCGCCTGGCCCAGAGTGGCCCCTGCCGTGCTGGACACACCGCACTCGTGCCCCTGCAACTCCAGGGCCTTTGCACGTGTGGCTCCCTGTGATTTCTCCTCAGGCTTCTGTCTGGCCTGAGGGGTCACTTTTCCCGGGGGCCCCTTTCCCCCTGGCCTGCCTTCATGGCCCTGCGAAGATGGGCCTGGCCCTGCGATGTGGCACAGAGCTTCCTTCCTGTCCCCTAGCACACAGCAGTGAGTAGTGGGGTGTGTGGTGTGGTAACTGTCCCTCCCCGCCACGTGGCTGGGGGTGGTGTCTGAGTGGCTGTTCACGGCCCAGCTCCGGCCGGGACCCCGCCTGCTCGTCCCGTGGGTGCTCACACACAACCCTCATCCCAGGCCGGGAGGGTCCGTGTGCTCCGAGAGGCCGCTGTGGCCGGGTGGTGGGCCGTGCCTGCTTCCCTGCACTTCCTGCACACCCGGGCCGCGCTCAGACCTCCGCTCTGGGCTCCGTCAGGGAGAAGGTGCACACGGGGCCCGACCCCTCCCCGTCCCAGTGAGGGGAGGGCCGGCCAGCTCCGAGGCTTGCACAACTGAACAGAAACTCCAGAGAACATCGGGCGAGGAACAAAGGGTTGCCAGCTTTTTGTTTTGTCACGTAAGGACGTTATTAGGAAAAGCTGGCACGCCCCCTGGTTTGGGCCGCACAGAGGGGCTGGCTGAGCGGGGGTACCTGTCATCTCGGGGGCAGCACGTGCCTGCCTTCCTGCGACTGACCTCGCCGCGGCTTCCTCCGGGTCGGCCCGGGTCCCCCTTCGGGGACAGCTTGTTAGCAGTGCGGTGCGCTCAGCATCAGGAGGGTAGCTGCCACCTCTTGAGCCCTGGGGGAGCTTCGGGCCTCTGCCGGGGGGTCCCGCCATCATCAGGGTGCCAGCCTGCCTGGGGGTGGCTCGGGGACAGCTCTGGGCTCCTCGTGGGCTCCTGGGGGCCAACAGCCAGTGGCCAGGGAGGCTGGGTCCCTGGGCTTCAGCCTGTGGCAGAGCTCTGAGGCTCCTCCCAGGTGTCCCCCACATCCCCCCCGCCTCCCCCCCTGCGTGGCTTCTCCAGGCCCCTCTCCACCTGCCTGGGCCTGGGCTCTCCCTTCACGGGGCTGCCCCGAGCCTCTGAAGAGCAGAGCCTGGCCAGGGTGGCGCCCGCTAGAACCCGTCCCTGGCCTGCAGTGTGCTAGCTGCTGGGTGTGTCGCCGCGTGAGCTGGGGACCCCGTGCAGGCCAGCCTCTGTGCCCGCGTGAATCACAGGGTGAGGGGGGAGCGCCCATGGGGGTGCTGGGCTGGGGCACGTGGCCCCATTGCACAGAATCTGCTGTAGGGGACAGAGGAGGGACTTGGGGTGAGGGCCAGTGTGGGGGTGTTCTGGGTGCTGGCACCCTGGGCTGGGGATCCTGTGTGCCCCAGAAGCCGTGGCTGATGCCTGTCCCTGCAGCTGCACGTCCCCATCAGCACACGCCAGCCCCTTCTGACCCGATGGGCTCTGCGCCAGTTTGTCACCGGGCGTCCCATGTGCGCCCTCGGCGGGCCCTTCCCGCGGGCCCCGGGAGTTCAGACTGCACCTCTCTTTAGGGCAGATGGTTTCTCTTGGTGGGAGCTCTTCAGAGGATCCCCCTAGCCATCGTGTGTGGCTGTTGTCCTCCCCCTCGCTCAGGGCCCAGAGGGTCCACCGGCCAGGAGCCAGGGAGGGGCTCCACTGAGGCCTGCCTGGCTTTCTCATCTGTGACAATGAGGGCAGAGTCCCTTTCTGGCTAGAACTTTCTGGAAAGGCCTCTGATGCCCCCATGTGTGTGCAGTCTCCACAGCCGGTAGGAAGAAGTGGCCCGGAGGGGCCGGCACTGTCTACCCCCCTCAGAGTCCCATGCCATCTTGGCACTCACGCCTGCACCTAGGTTTCCCCGACTGTGCCCTGGGGTCACTCGGCCCCCACACTGAGGGCTTCCAACAGCAGCAATTTTAGCCTCTTACGGTCCCGGAGGTCCGAAGTCCGTTGTCAGCGACAAAGGACGAGAGTCGCGGTGTCCCCAGGGCTGGTTGCTTCTGGGGAGGACGCTCCCTTGCCCTTCCCGGTGCTGGAGGTGCCGCGTCCTCGGCCCAGGCCCTCCTCCGGCGTCAAGCCAGCGGCTTCTGTCCTGCTCACGGGTTCCCGTCTCTGACCCCTGCCTCCCTCCGTGGGGACCCTGTGCTGACACTGGGCCCATCCATCATCTGGGGGCCCTCCCACCTCAAAACCCGTCCCTCGATCATGCCTGCAAAGGGAAGCATAAAGCTGTACCAGCTACAGGCTCACCACCTGCAGGCTCAGGGGATTAGGACACGGCCCCCGGGGCCCTTCTTCAGCCCAGGGCAGGTGCAGCACGCGGGGCGGGGGGGTCCGGTCTGGGCCGTGTTCCCAGCCAGGCGCTCACGGCATGCCTCTCCCCCCACCCAGCCCAACGACCCCGTCACCAACATCTGCCAGGCAGCGGACAAACAGCTCTTCACGCTGGTCGAGTGGGCCAAGCGGATCCCGCACTTCTCTGAGCTGCCCCTGGACGACCAGGTCATTCTGCTGAGGGCAGGTAAGTGGCTGGGCTGGCCCGGGCCGGGGAAGGTACGGGAGGGAGAGGGCAGGGTCCCCGGGGCCCCATGGATGGGTGGGACCCTGGGACACCCCTTTCTTCTGCAGTGTGGGGCTCCCGCTGGGGCCCTGCCCTGCCCCACTCTGGCCTTGCTGCCCCCACCCATAAGGAGGTCATTGGTTCTGGGTCTCTAAGTGGCCTTCAGAGGGGCCGAGGGCTGTCTGGGAACCTCTGGAGAGGGCGGGGGTGGTGTGCCCAACACGGGCTGCCCTGGAGGGTTTGGGCTCTGCCCTCTCCCCGCACCGAGGCCTCCGCTTCTCCTCTGTGTGGGGTTGCAGCGCTGACAAGCGGGGTGGGAGCACAGGCTCTGGGGTTCGGGTCAGGCCTGATTCCCGACGTGTGCCCGGCATGCCAAGTGGAGACCGAGTTTCTGCGGAGCCTAGGGTCCTCGGTGCAGGTTCCTGCTGGAGGGACGGGTGCACCAGCTGTGCTGGTGCTGGGCCTTCCGGGGGGGCTGGTAAGGAGCACCCCCTGTCCCGCCGGCCCAGCTGCACGTGCTGGGCACTGCGGGAACATCAGAGGGCAGCCTGGCCCCGTGCCTGCCAGGCCCTGGGTGCGCTTGGGGCAGCAGGAGAGGTGGCAGCCAGCCCAGAGGTAGGGGGAGGCTGGGCAGGCCCCAGGGTGGTGGGGGGGTGACAGGGAGAGGCAGAGTGACTGCAGAGTGATCGTGTCCTGGGGGGGACCGTGGGGGGAACAGATGCACTTGGGGCCGGCTCTGCCCCCAGCAGAACTCTCGTCCCCGGCCTTGTGGGCCTGGGAGGGGGCCAGGAGCACCTTCTGGAAGAGCTTTCACTCCAGCTGGGGCATAACACCCAACACCCAGAGCCACCAGGGGAAGGCGACGGGGGCTGGGGGTCCGGGCTCACTGTGTGATGGGGTAAGCCCTGCCCTGGGCTTCACTTTCCCCTTCTGGAAGACGGGGCTGTCCCTTGTTCTGTAGGATTGCAGTCGCTACAAAGTGGAATAGCCCGTGTGGCGTTGTGTGCCACGGAGCCCAGAGCCTTCTGGGCGTGGGCAGCGTGGCTGTGGCCAGGGCAATCTCGGTGGAATTGTCTTGGGGCTTCCATCCACAGGAGTCATTGAGAACCCGGCTCAGAAATCGTTTCTATCTCAAGTTTTGCTTCCGTGCTTTTTCTTAACCCTTGACGCCTACTCTGGTTTGTCTGAGCCGGGAGTTTACGTAGAGAGAGTGTCGTTTGCCTGAGGCTCTGACACACTTTATTTCAGCTGAAGGATTTACTGTCTCGTGGTGCCCCAGGCAGCACGTGGTAACTGGAGAGTCTGCTGCTTGGGGCCGGGTGGGCAGCTGCTCTCTGGCCGTCCCAGAGAGAACCCCCCGCATCCTCCGTGGCACGAGCACCCTGCTCTTGTGGGAAGAGACCTCCCTGGGCGCATGGGTTTGGGAGCAGCTGGGTGACACAGAGCTCAAGAAGATGCTCTGTGCGGGACTTCTCAGGACCTTTATTGCCCAAGCTTGCTCTGCGGAAGAAAGAGGCATTGCCCGAACATCGGTGCTCGGGACCCTCGTTTCTGTGGCGCACACATGGGGGTGGGGCCCACAGAGCCCACTGTGGGATGTTCTGCGACAGCCTGCGGCCTGTGGGGCCGAGCGGCAGCCCCATCAGGGGAAGGGACAGAGCCGTGTGACCGTGCACCCCCCTCCCCTCAGGCTGGAATGAGCTGCTCATCGCCTCCTTCTCCCACCGGTCCATCGCCGTGAAGGACGGGATTCTCCTGGCCACCGGGCTGCACGTCCACCGGAACAGCGCCCACAGCGCAGGGGTGGGCGCCATCTTCGACAGGTGGGGTCCGCGGCCCGCTCCACGTGCGTTCTGTTCCATGCGGAAGTGCAAGGGCGGAGGTTCACGTCTCTGCCAATCCCTGCGCTGGGGGCGCTCGACCCGCACAGCGGAACGTGCGGATGGGTTTCTCGGGCTCTTTTCTTTGACACCGTGTACGGGAAGGAAACTACACTTTTAAACAGGAGACGATCACAGCGCGGTTACTGTCATGCGGCGGCCCGCGTGTCACTCGAGCCGTGAACGCAGCATGGGAGCCCGCGAGCCCCCAGCTGTGTGCGTGCTGCCGCGCCTGCGCCTCCCCGCACCCCTGCGCTCCCCGGGAACCCTGCGGAGGGGCAGCGCTGGGATGGGGGGCAGCTCCGCGTCTTCATTCTAGTCGCTCTCCAGACACGCAGTCAGCCTTGCTCCAGCTCCGGGGCCCTGGGTGGCGTCTGCCTCAGCCAAGGGGAGGGGAGGTGGTGGCCAACTCCCAGGGAGCCCCTGAGTGGGGGAGCTCCGCAGTCAGAGGCGAGCAGAGCCCCCGGCCGTCACCCCCGGGAACGTAAACTCAGGAAGCGTGCTGCCCCGCAGGGCCGTTGGTAGAACCGAGAAGTAGGCCCGTGAGCTTCCTGGGACGTGCTGAGCGCAAACAGGGGTTGTGGCCACGTCTCCTGACAAGTGTTGGTCTGAACAGTGGATAGATGTGTCTTCGCTGCAGGACTTTTCAAGGCCTTGAACAAGCTAATGTATGGGGTGCCACCAAAGGTAGTTAGGGAGTACAGCGTTTTATTGTCCACAGAAGCCGTTTTAGAGAGTACAGCCTCCTGGGGTCTGTCTGGGTTTAGAAATGCAGCCCCTGCCACACTCCGAGCTGCCGGTTCTGCGTCCAGCTGCTAGAGAGGTGATGGTGACGGAGGTGTGGGGTTAGACCTCAGCGAGCAACATCAGAGAGAACCAGCTCCCCCTTGCCCTCCGAGTGAATGGAACGTGGGACCCCGGCCTCGGGGCACCCTCTGGAGCGCCCGTCCCCTCCCATTCTGTCCTCCAGGCTCCCGGGAATCTGTTCCTCTGCAGCCTGCAGACCCCTGGGGACTCCCCGGCTCCTCGGGATGACTGTCCAGTCCCTCCCCAGGCCACCATCCTTTGTTCCCCTGTGGTCTAGCTTCACCAAGCACTTAGCACTCCCTGGGCATGGCCGTCGAGCTTTGGGGGCCAGTGGGTAGGCAGAGGAGGTTGGGGAGCTCAGGCCACGGAGGTAGGACACCACTGCCTATAGGGGCTGGGCCAGCCGAGGGTGGCTCAGAGTTCTGCCCTCTGCCTTGTTTTGGCCATGAATGCCTGGTGACAAGAAGCAGAACCCCCACCAGCAGCTAGGGAGGATAGAGGAGGGCCACGTCCTGGGGAGAACAGCTTTCCCGTGGACCCCAGGGAGCGGCCTCAGGCTGTGGGGAGCCACGGCAGTGGACCTACCCTACGTGTCTGGGTCCCTGGCTCCCGTCCGTGCAGCGGTCGCGGGGCCCCTTCCTGGTAGATCCCACATGCAGACCGTCCTGAGGGCAGGAAAGCAAGCGCCTCTCCGGGTGGGATGGGACAGGCCGGGCATGGGAGCCGTCAGCATCCCCGTGGGGCCTCGCCCTTCCACCCGCTCTCCGGGTCCACGCCCAGCATCCCGAGCCAGTCCTTGGGGTCTGTCTTGGGGGAGGGGTGGTCCAGGCGGGGGCACGGTCTGACTGGCACGGCGGTGTTGGCCTGCTTCCTCTGCAGGGTGTTGACGGAGCTCGTGTCCAAGATGCGGGACATGCAGATGGACAAGACGGAGCTGGGCTGCCTGCGTGCCATTGTCCTCTTCAACCCCGGTACGGCCTCCCTGGCGCGCGGCCTGCCGCCCGGCCTTGGGCCCTCAGCTCTCGCTGGTGCTGTGGGGCCAATCGCCCGTCTCCTCGCGAGGGTGCACAGGCCACGCCAGTGCTCTCGTGGCTCCTGTGAACGCCCCCACGCGGCGTGGCTCAGGGAGCTGTGCTCACCCTTCGTGGTTTAGGCACTGCATCTGAAGTGTGGCCCCACTTTGCCCGGAATCCTGGGCTCCAGAAGAGGCGGCCTCTTCATGAACTTCTCGTGGCCAAGTCCGGGAGCCCGGACGGTGGGTGGGGGCGCGGAGGGGCGGTGTCCCTCGGGGCTGCTGCGGGCCTCTAGGGAGAGCTGGGGGTGCTGACCGGCCAGTGGGGAAGCCGGGATGGCGCCAGGGCTGGTGGGCCCTGATCTCCTGCCTTCCATCAACTCCAGCACGGAGGGGTCTGGCTGTGGGAGAGATGAGTGTCTTCTCGTGGGGAGAGCCCACTTCCGGGGGCATTTTGTCCCCAGGGTTTTGCTCTGAGCCCGTGGTCCTGCCAGCATGGGAGGCGGGGCCACGCATCTTAGCCCTGCAGGATGGAGTCCCCATTCCATCCAGCTGTGCGCGGCTTGGCTGCTGGCACGGGTTCCCGTCCCCCAGGGTGTAAGGCTGCTGGAAGGACATGGCTGGCGCTGAGGGCCTCCCCCCCCAGGGCCTTGGTGTGCTGAGCTACGGAGAAGCCTGGCACGTTCCCAAGGTGCCCAGGGCCCTAGGCTATCTGTGGCTTTCACGCCGGACCCTGGTGTGCCTGCTGGGGTGTCAGGCTGCCGGGGGGCCGTGCTGGCATGAGCCCCCCAGTCTGTGGCTCAGAGGCAACCTGACGGCAGGTCTGTCCCACCGCGGAGCCACTTGGGGCTCAGCGGCTTCAGATGGCTGCAGGCGGGCGGTTGTGGTCTCCAGCCCCTGTCCCCTCTGCCATCAGGATGGGCCACACTTGGCTGGGGCCAGACGCAGGGCCTCTGAGCCCTAGCATGACACCACGTGGTGGCTGCTATGGAGAGACATGGGTTTGACTCTGTTGGCTTGTCGGGTCGTGGGAAGCCCCAGGAGACGGAAGCTGAGTGGAATGCCTGGCACGGGTGGCCTCTGACTGGGTCAGGAGGGCCTGTGACGGCTCACCCGTTTGAGCCCTGGAAGGTCCATCCTGTCCTCCTTGGATCCCACCTCTGGGCCCCAGAGGTTTTGGTGGCTGAGGTCCTGGGCGTCTCTGTCCACGGGCAGAGCCCTTTCCAGACTGGGCTTCCGCCCCCAGGGTCCCCGGGCTCAGGCCTCTTCCCCCACTGCCCTGTGTGAGGCTGGCTCTTGGGAGTGACGGTTCTGAGCTTTTCTCCCTCTCAAAGGAACCGAGTCCTGAGGGCATCCAGGGTCTGGCTTTAGCCTGGTTGCTGTGGTAACCAGGAGAGGGTGAGGGCAGCTGGTTGCACTTGACCCCCGACGGGGAAGCTGAGCTCAGGGAAGTCCAGGGATGGGCCGCATGTGGCCAGTGAGTGGCAAGCCAGGACTCAAGCCCGGGGCGGCCTCCTCGGGGGGCAGAGCCTGCCCCGCCGCTGCTGGCCCCAGCCGAGCGGGGATGTGAGGGAGCGGGCTTGAGTGCCCCGGTGCCCCTCGCAGCTTTCTGGGCCGAGACCTCTGACCTGCGGCCCTTCCCCCTGCAGACTCCAAGGGGCTCTCGAACCCAGCGGAGGTGGAGGCGCTGCGGGAGAAGGTCTACGCGTCCCTGGAGGCCTACTGCAAACACAAGTACCCCGAGCAGCCAGGAAGGTGAGCCCCCCGCCCTCCCCCCGCCTTCGGGGGGGCCTCAGGGTCTCATGACCCCCTGCCCCAGGCAAGACTGCCCCCCAGCCCTTTTGGCACCTTGTGTGAATTAGAAGGCGGTGCCCTCCTCCGTGGAGGGAGCCTGTGCCCCCGCGCCCCCGAGCGAGTGCATGCTCCTGCCGCCCGCCCAGAGCACTGGCCTGCGTGCAGCAAGTGCCTGTCGTTGCAGAGCAGGAGGATGAAGCCAGGGCACTTCTACCCCTCAAGGGAATCCCTAGAGGCAGGGCCTTGGCGTGCTTACCCCCAGCAGGGATGGATGCCGGCACACAGTGGGTGCTTTGTACACGTGTGCAGGGCTGTGTGGGCACCGGAGGGGCTGGGGTCTCATTCCCGGGTCCGCAGTGCTGGGCGCACAGCTGGGGGGAAGGGGAACTGTTTATGGCTTGGTGCTCTCGCAAGTCTTGTCCTGATTTGTGCCCCTCCCTCCAATAAGGCCTCTCTCGGAGGGCGTGTGCCCTCCACCCCTGGGCACCAGGCCTCCCTCTGCCCCGTCCCCCCGCCCCCCACCTGGCGCACGCGCAGCCGCACGCACCGGTGACTGTGCCTGGCCCCCTCGCAGCCCTCATCTGGTTTGGTTTAAAGTGAGACTTGCTGGGGAGGACGGAGGGCCGGCCTGCTTGTTTTTCCTGGCTCCCCGCCACAGCCCATCTCGCCAGCTCAGCAGAAAACAGCTTTCTCTGGCCCCGGTCCAGCCTCTACGCTGCGTTTTTGCCTTTAAAACGTGGGTTGTATGGCCGCCAGCCACAGGGCTTTCTCTCCTGAAATACAGACGTTGTGAATAATTAACGAGGGTCCACGCCGTTGTGGGGGACCGTTGTGGACATCCCTGGAGGGGACAGGGCACTGTCCTTGGCAGCCGAGCAGCTGAGCCTGGCGTCCCTCCTCCCAGAGCCCCAGCACCTCCCGCTGCCCTCCCACGTTCGGTCTCCTCACCCGGGCCGGGCAGGGCCTGGCGATTGGGCCTCTGGCTCAGCTCCAGCAGAGCTATTTCTGGGGAAGGGGTGGGCGCTGGCCTGGGGCACATGGGATGCCGATGCTTAATGAGCGGAGGCTTGCTTGAGCACAGACCTGTTCCCCCGGCCCAGGAGCCGCTCCACCTTGGTCTCCCCACTGCAGCCAGAGGCATTGCTGATACTCAGATTCGTTTTCGTAGCTCTCTTCCCTGCTTAAAATCCTGCCGTGGCTCCCTGTTGCCCTTGAAGAAGGCCCACATATTTTAACTTTCCCATGAAGCCCTACTGAGCCTGCACCAGCCCAGCCACTGTCCTGCCTCTGGTCCTTCACCCCAGGTCTCTACTCCATGGGTCTTCCTTCGGGGTCTTCGTGTCCACCCCGCACACTCCTGCTCCCAGGCCCTGGCCTGCTCTGTCCGCTGCCTGAGGGGCCCAGCTCCCCCTCAGGCTCTGTGCAGGCCAGGCCCTACTGCTGCGGCTTTGGGACCAGCTCTGTCCCCAGGAGGCCGCCAGGCGCTGGGTGGAGGGTGGGGAGGACGGCCAGGCTCGCCCTCACCTGGCCCTCCCACAGGTTCGCCAAGCTGCTGCTCCGTCTGCCGGCTCTGCGCTCCATCGGCCTCAAGTGCCTGGAACATCTCTTCTTCTTCAAGCTCATCGGGGACACGCCCATCGACACCTTCCTCATGGAGATGCTAGAAGCCCCCCACCAAATGACTTAGGCCCGCCGGCCCGGCCGCCCGGCCTGGCCGCTCTTCTCAGCTGAGCCCCGTCCCCGCCCCTTCTCTAAGCCTGGCCTCCGCGGACGTGGGGGCGCAGCCTGCTAAGCCTCCGAGCGTGGCCACCTCGCTGTTTTCAGTGTTCCTCACCCGCAAAGCCGGGTTGTGGCTTTCCTGGGGCCGGAACTGGTGTGAGCCCGGCCAGGCCCGCACGCAACTCTGGGCAGCGGGGGCGGCTCTCCGGGTTGCAGGCCCCGTCCCTGAGCCGCACTGGTGTTGGGAACATCCCATGCTCCCCTCCTGTGTTTGGAGTGACCCCCGTCGTCTCTTGTCAGGCGCCCCACCCAGGCTCGGGAGCAGAGCGCAAAAGGCCTGCCCCGCCCCCCAGGAAGACAAGGGGGGCTCTGGGGCGAGCAGGCTTCCCTCCCCTCACAGTGAAGGGCGAGCAGCCCCTTTTCCAAAGATGACTTGCAGTGTCGCCCCCGAGCCAAGCAGGACAGGAGCCGACCTCTGTGCGGGGTTCCAGGCCCCCCTCAAGGCTGCAGGGACTGGCGTCACCCACCTCCCCACCTTGCTTTTCTCTTCGCGTCACCCTGGCTTCCGCTTCTCCCCCCCCGCACAGCCTCACACAAGCCGGGGTAGGCAGACCCTGTGTACGGCCTGCCCTCAGTTCTGTCTGCTGTTTGTGGAGGGGCAGCCCCGCTTCCCCCCCTTCCCCCCCCCGCCCGGTCTCTGCAGGGCTAGCCCACTTCCTGGCCTTCCCTGAAGTCCTGGGCCGTGCTGATCTGTCATGAGCAGGGGTTGGGCCTGGGAGGCCCACAGGGATGGGAGGAAGGAGGGTGCGTTCCCCAGGGGGTGTTCAGCAGCTGTGCACACTTGGAGCTGGGGACCCACGGCAGGTGTGTGGAGGGGAGGGACTTGGGGGCACGTAAGCCCGGCGGGGAGGGGCAGGTGGGGTTGCTTCCTAGAACTGTTGGCAGGGAGGCGTCTCTGCTGGCGGCCTGTCCTGTGTGGGAGCCTCTTGGAATCGGGGACTGTGGCGTGCCAGCGTCCTTGGGCCTGCAGCTGGTTGCCCCTCAGGGACAGCCAGATGTGGGGCTCCGTCAAACACGTGCCCTGGCTGACGGCTCCCCAGGCCAGGCTGTGCCTGCTTCTGTAGCGTTTCCACCGAGCTGGGCGGGGGCGTGGCCTCCTGGGCCAGGGTGCTCTGGGCTCTGGGTGTGCAGGGGCTCTCTCAGGTTGAACCCGCTTCTTTTGCACTGTAATGCCCTCCCTTTGGTCTGAGTACTTTCCAGTCTTATGCCTCCTAGTCCATGAACCCAGTGTTCGTCGCTGGTGGGGGCCTGAGCAGGGTGGGGGGTGATGCAGGCAGCTCCTGAGGGGTTGCTCTGTAGCCTGGCTTCCCTCCTGTGGCCCCCAGGAGCAGCCCACGGGGGCGGATACCTTCCCTAGAGTCTGGTTCCCCAGCTGGAGCAAGGCAGGGAGGGGTCTCCAGGCCCCGTGGGGAAGGAGGTGTCCCTGCTTTGCCTTCCAGATTCTCCAGCCACGCTGAAGGTGAGGCACCAGGCAGAGGCTCCAAAAGACTGCAGAAAAGCCTCCTTCCTCTGCTGCCCGCCTGCTTGTAATGTGGGGAGGTGTCCCCTGCCACGTGGGCAGTAGGGGCGGGGCGTGTAGGGCCCACCCAGCTCCCAGCGTCTCAGCAGCCTTTGGAGGCTCGGTTGTGACAGGCAGTGGTGCAGGCATCCTTGGGAACTTCCTCTCGGGGTCCCCCCAGTTGTGGGAACAGTAGACTGCCCCACGCCCAACAGCCCGGTGCCTTCAGCCGGACGCACCCCATCATCCACGCCCTGCCCTCTCCCACTTCCCTGGGGTCCTTGGGAATGTGGGGGCCTCGAGTGGAGGAAGCCCAGGACTGAGTCTGTTGGAGGGTCAGCTCCTTCCTGTGAACGCCCCTGGCTGCTTGCCGGAAAGCACTGAGGCTCCCAGGCTACAGCATAGAAAGCCAGAAGCCCCCAGCCCCTCCAGCCTGCAGCCTCAGCGCCACGGGCGGGGCCGTCCTCTCGATCCGTCTGCTGCCCTTGTCACGCATTCAGTGCTGTTGGAGGAGGGGGCTAAGTGGGGAGATGCACATGGCTCAGTAGAGAGGTAGGAGTTTTATTTAACCAGACCGTTAGTAGTGTTATCAATCTGGTTCAATTAAAGTGATTTTTGTAATTATTTTTATTATTATTATTATTTTGGTGGGACAATCTTTAATTTTCTAAAGATAGCACTAACATCAGCTCGTTAGCCACCTCTGCCCGTCCCTGCCTCGGCCTGGCCCGGGGTGCCTCCGGTGCTGGCTCCATGGACTCACTTCCCCGCGGTGACGTCGGGGACTGGGCTCCCGCCGCAGGGCAGTGAAGATGACCATGCCTGCGTCTGCAAGGGGCCTCTGCTTGGAAGCCGGCCTGCCCTCGGCACCTGGAAGCACGTGGTCTCCGGGCAGAGACGGCCCCGCGCCCCCGACTTCTAGAGGATTCGGGCCGGTGACAAGCACAGACACCAGACCGGAGGCCCCTCACCTGCGGGGGCCGCCAGCAGGGCCCGGCCGGACGCACAGCCAGTGGGTAATCAGCTGATGTTGTCCCCATCACGGAATTGGGGCGCGTGGCCCGCTCCCCGTGCACGCAGGTGCGCAGCGTGACATGTCTGTGCTGTACAGAGACACTGCGGGAGGCTGACGCTGTCGACCCAGCACCCGCGGGGCAGTTACCAACTTTGTCTTTATTTTTAATCAAGACTTTCCCCCCGTTTTCCTATAAATTTGCTTCTTGTAAGCAAGTACATAAGGACCCCTCCTTTGGTGAAATCCGGGTTCGAGTGAATATCCCAAGGCAAGGAGCGCATCTATTTTAAGATGCTTTGGAGCAAGCAGCCTTATCGGTCCCCATCCTCAGCAATGCCTTAGCCGGGACACGCCACGGACACTTCAGAGGGTGACAAGTACATACAGAGAGTAGAGATAAAATGTCTAAAGCATCGGGAAAGGTAAAAATCTATTTTTGTACAAATGTAATTTTATCCCTCATGTATACTTGGATGATGGGGGGGGTGGGACTTGTTTTGTTTCTGCTTCTAGAGATGGAGGAGAGCTTTTTCAGTGGAGCGTTCGGACGCGGACGCAGCGCACGGGCTTTGTACAAACTGCTGCGTGGACATTTCCCCTCGGGCAGGGGTGGGGCCCAGACGGTCAGGGGTTTTCTTCCCCTTCTGAGTGATTCTTGAAGCCTTGCTCTGTTCTGCCCCCGTTGCCAGCCGGCCTTCCCGAGACTCTGTTTGACTGTGAACTTACTTCCCTGTGTGTTCTCTGAACACTGCCGCCACGGGTGCCGGCCACGGACCAACAGCGGTGTTAGAACGTGGAAAGGAAAACACAGAAAAACGTGAGAGGAGAAACAAAATATGAGCGTTTAAAAATAGATCACCATGCTGTTCTCGTTTGTTCTGCCGGGGGTTTTCCTGTCTGGGGCTGGCGGGCTTCCTGGGCCGGCACGGGGGGGGGGCGCCCGGGCTGCTGCCCGACCTGTGGCGGGGGCCGGTCCAGGGCAGTGAGGCCCCCGGCTCGGGTCACCCGCCCCCCACCCCCCTGCGCGGCAGTGCTCCTTCCCTGGCCTGCTCTGTTCCACAGCCCGCACGGCCCCTGTGGGCCCCTCCGCGTCCTAGGGCACCGACCACCCGCCCTGCCGCAGGCTGCCCGAGCCCGAATGGGCGAGTGGCTCACACACGGGGCCACAGAGTGAATGATGTCATCCGGTTGCTCTGTTCCTAACGTAATGATACCCCATCTGCTCCGTCCCGTGTGATGGACGCTTTGTCGCCACACCCTCTGGGGGCTGGGCCGGGCCCGGCTGCAGTTTGGCGATAGTGTCGTATTCTCTTGTGCTTTTGGTCCGGCGGGCACCTTCCCAGGGAGGTGCTGGGTGCCCTGGAGCTGGGGTCCTGCCCTGTGGAACCAGGGCTGCTCCCAGCAGAGTGGGTGAACCCCACGGTCATAGGCCAGTGGCTCCCCTCGTGCTCTCCTCCCCAGAATGTGCTCCCATGACACGTGTCCACGCACGACACGTGTCCACACGTGTGCACGCGCTTGTGCACAGCACATGACAGGCCTGCTCACAGGTAACACTTGCCCACAACGTCCATGTACACGCAACACGCGTGTGCACGTGGTTCTCACGCCGTGTACACACTGCCTGCATACAGCACGTATGCACAGGTCCCACTCTGCACGCTGGCGTGCAAGGACCTCATGAGGCCTCGGGAAGTGAGAGGCAGGACAGAGAGGGCCTCCCCCGGGGGAGTCGGCACCCCCCCCCGCACGTGCCCCCCCCCTTGGCGGGCCTGACGCCTCGTGTGGCTCTGGGGGCCCCGGCCGTGGCTGGACCAGCCTGCCGCTGCTTGTGCTTGTGGGGCCATGCACCCCCACCGAGTCAAGGCTTTGTCCTTGCCCGTGGGAACTCAGTCTGGACTCCCTGGAGGGGGGTGGACATGGGGAGCCCCCGCAAGTCCCCCAGCAAGCCCCCCACTGGCCGCTGGACCTGGCCGGGACTGGCCTGCTCTGCTTTCCGGTAGGAAGCACGCGTTACCAGCCGCGGGGGCTGCTTCCTGGGTCTGCAAAGAGGATCAGGCCTAGGGGCCCTGGGGAATTGGGAGGGTGGCGTCCCCGTGGAGGGGCTCCTTGTGCTGCCTTCCACATGACCAAAGCCACTGCTGAGCGCGCTGTGTGGGGCCGCCAGTTCCCCGGTGGCCTGATTTCCCGCGCAGGCGCCAGCCCCAGCTCTGGGCAGGGCCTTCAGGACGTGCCAGGCAGTCCCGGGTGGGCTGGGAGGGCGCAAGGTGTCCGCGTCCCCTTCCAGAGAGCAGACTCGGGACAGCTGCCAAGCCAGGAGGGGCTGCTCGGGTCCTGCGGGGAGACCAGGAAAGGAGTGTTCCTTACAGGTTTTCAGGATGCGGCCCTGCCCTTGGGGCTGGGAGGGCCAATTCCCGTTCTCCTAACGAGCCATGT